ATTCTGTGATTCTACGATTCTATTCTTAGACAAGAGTTCTAGAGAGAAAAAAGGGTAGGCCTACAGAAAAAGTATACATCAGCCAAAAAAAAAAAAAGCAGGTATTTATATAGTATTTGCACAGTCCTTTTGCCTTCCATAGTAACTCTAAGCCACCTTAACTCTCCCATTACATATAGGTCTGCACCAAGTTAAGTTTCAACTTCACCTCGCTTACATAAAGACAGCTATATGGTCTTAATATTTATACACATGAACAGCGTCATGCTCTATGACAACCACCACCAAAACCTGAGTGACTACAGGTCTTACTTTTAGCAGCATTCACTTGGAGGCAGTGCAGATTCTCAAAACAAAATTCAATTGCTAACACTTCACAAACAACCCAGTTATTCTGCCTGAAAGTGTTACTTCATTGTAGTGCTAGATTATCTCAGCAGTGTTTCTGAACCACTGAAACATATCCTCTGTTTCCCCTTCCTTTTATAAGGACATTCCCTGACAAGACTTTTGCAGCAATAGTTAAGTCTCATTACTGCTAGTTTTTTTTAGAACTATCAAAGTGGTAGAGGGAATAATAAAAAGAAAATTAATAAAGTTTGTTACCAAGCTCAGTTATAAAATGGAGCTTTAACACACTTTCAGTTATTTTTAAAATTATTTTTACACTACAATCATTTTAGCTCTTAGAAATCACATTAAATTACATTTTACAAAGGAAATACTTGGAATGAAATAATACAAGAAATAACACTGATGAAAAGATTTGTGAACCATGATCCCAGACTGGAACAGAGAAATTACGTGTATTGCAGCTGTATTAAGTGAAGTTCTTCCTTATTATGGCCCTAATCCAACAATATGCTTAAACCATACACATTTTTGTTAGAACTATTCAGATACTGTAAATCCAGTGCATATTTGACACATATCTTTTGAAACAGAAGCCCGTGTGACATAATGCAGGATAATTAAGTTACTCAGAAGTCCTGCTCCATGACTGGTTATTAGTTTAACCATAGTTTTCTGAATGAAACATGGTTTAAATGATATAATTTGCCTTTATTAAGTTTAAGGCACAGAACATCCTTCTTACCTGTAATTGTTGATACTTCGTTACATTAATCTTATCTAACGATTTTGCCAAATTAGGATGATGAATGATATCATCTAAATCTTCTGTGTCTTCAGTTTCAGATGTAGAAGTGCTTTCTACTGTCACTTTCACAGGAACACCTGTCTAATTACATCAGAAAAGAAGAACAGCCACTCACAGCATTACACTCTCCAGTAAAAATCAAAGATTGAATAGTAACGAAAGCTTAATGGAAATGCAGTCATTTCCCAGAGTCCCTGACAATGCATATACACTGTCCAGTTATGTAATTTTGAAACAGATTTGCATAAAACAGTATTTTTAAAACCCCAAATGTGTGCATATATTGGGTATATGTGACAAGTATTTAGTAGCAGGGCCAGAGGAGCTGCCCCAGTGGGTCGAGCTGACTCGCCACAGTGCACAACTGAACCTCACAGCCAAGAGGGCAGCACCTCTGAGAAAGGCTGTTTAGGGAAGGGCAAAAAATGCCACACAGGCAGAAGAGGTGGCAACAAAAAGAGTGAGAAAGAACAGAGGGGACACCAGGCTCAGAGGTGGAGGTGTTCTGTGGTGGAGCTGATAACCACACTCCAGCCCAGGGGAGATCCCATGCCAGAGCAGAGGGATTGGCCAAAGAAGCCGCAGCCTGTGGACAGCCTGTGCTGGAGCAGCTTTTCATGGAGGACTGCAGCCCTGGGGAAGCTTCTGCCAGAGCAGGGCATAGGTGTGATGTCTTCAGCAACCATCAGACCCTTCTGTGAGCCAACTTAGTTCATAAGTAGACACTAATAACACTTTTCCAGCTTTTCTCAGGATGGGTGCAGTGGTAGGGGAGAGGGGTATGGAGATGAGAAACAAAGGAGAAGGAATTTTTTTCCCCTGCTGGCATGTTCACTACAGCAGTTCACAGGTGGGTTCAAACACAAGTATGTGGTCCAAAAGCAAAATTTTCACCTTTCTTCAGACATTCATCTACTAAATGAACAATCATATGAGGGAGAGTACCTGAATCTTCACTGGTAATTCTTCAGTACTGTCCACTGGCCCACCTCTAAAGTCAGAGAAAAAAACCAAACACTTTTGAGAAAAGTAAGTTTATAACATCACAACTGCTACTTCCATTTGCAAACACAGGATTCTGGGACAGGTGAAGCCAGTAAGAGTAAAAACATAACTGACACTGCACTGTATCCCATTTAACTCTCATTACACCCTCATTTTATTCTATTAATACTCCTGCTTAATCATTAATTAGAGAAACATTACTGGATACTAACACTAATATCTTCAACAGGCATCTTGCTTGGTTAATTCTTATGAACTAAAGTCAGTGAAAAATGTGGTGGTCAGCATTTTGAAAAACAAGTTCAATGAAAATAGTTATGATGAAGCATCAAGTAATTTTTTGTTTAAATGTTTATGTACTCTCCATTTTGAGAGGCCAAGATCGAGGAAATACCATAAAAAACTTCTAAACCAAACAAAAAAAATGTTTCAAAAGGAAGCATGATAACAATATTATGGCTTCCATGTGTAACAATTTTTTTTTTTAAATTTATTTTACTTCACCGGACTTAAACGATCAGAGTAATTATGTCTGCACTAGGGGAGACAGAGCAGAAAGACAGGTGGGAAAAATAGCTAGGCACCTCAGACTGGATGCCGAATCAATGATACGACAAGCTTAGAAAACTAAATTGCATCTTCAGCTATTATAAGACTCAAATTATTAGTAACAAGAGAACAAGCAAGCAAGGTGGGTTTGGTTGTGGGTTGGTCTGGGGCTCTTTTGCTACAGTTGGGTATTCCTATGGCCAAATTATATCTTTTATGAGTATTTTAAAAACTCACTGGAATAGAACTCATGTAACCTCCTCAAAATTTGTACAAACAGAAAAAAATATCAAAGCAGTTATGAAATTCTGTGTGTATCTTACAAACACATATTTTAAAAACCTAACAACACTCTCGACTACAGTTATCATGCAAGTTTTATGCTATAATATCTTCCCTCGTACTCTGAAAACCTCACCTGCACCTCTTTGCCCGTTCTGCAGTCCGCCAAGGAAGAAAGCCTTTCGCGCCCGGTGGTAGTGGTTTTGGCGAGTAACTGTCTTTCACAGACATATTTTTTTTCCCAGGACTTATGGTCTTTTTAGAAGTTAATCCTGTATTGAACAGCAAGAATAGGAGAAAAGACGATTCAGTACACTTGGTTATTTACATATAAACTCACAGCTTACTGTTCATAAGTAAAATCTCCTACGCAACAGAAGGGACTGTAGGAAACCTACCTTTCCAATCTAATTTTCCTAGTGTTAGAAAACTTTCGTTTCGCTTCTGAAAAAGTGGTGGACAGCTTATCTGCCTGCAATTATGAACTGTTACACTTAATTGTTATGTTAGATCGACCTAAGTAAGCCACTGCTATTTAAAAAAGGAAGCAAAGTTTTGTAGCTAAAGAGGTTTATTCACATTACTAATTCCAGGTACCTAAGTGCGCTGTCTCAGGTGAGGGCTTGCGTGACTGCATAGACATTTAAGGCTACCCACGTGCTTCAAACTGCCCTCTAGTGGCTTTAGCGCGCTGAAAGTTGGTTCTGTAACTGGCAAAATGCTTGAAGCTAAAGCTGGTACTCATGTCGATCACTTCTACAGGACACCACCAATAACTTCAGAGGAATAATAATGAGAACTCATGTTCACTAGTCCAGCCTTCTGTTGTTGTTTAAATCATCCACACTATCGCTCAAAGCAGATTCAGAATAAATACCTAGTGTGGATGATCACTCTACCCCAGGTTCTGTAGGAGTCATAAACTAACAAGCCCAAAAAACTGTTCACCTAGTATTTCAAACGGTTAAAGTAGTGAGAACTCAGGTTGTTGTTTTCCTGAGCTCAATAAAACAACTAATTTTGTAATGGTTTAGGAATGCATAACTGTGGTAATGGGATTCCAAATCTCATTTCATTCTCAAAAAATAAACCAGGATTATTTACATTTTACACCCCGTGTTCAGAAGTAGTTTTCACCTCCTGACTCCCTCCCTCTCTTTAAAAAAGAAAATAAACACAAAAAATACAGTTGTGGTGTGGTTTTGGATTAAGTCAGGCATTTTCTTCTTCCATCACCCTGATCACAATAGTTTATTTGCATAAATACTTCAATTTGATTTATGCTTACCTCTCTGCTCCCAGATAACTAGAGCAAAGATGAAAGACAGCCAAATGTATCACAGTGAAATTGTTAGTAACATACTGAAAAATATTTAGTGTATCGCAGCTATCAATCCTTAATTATAAATATTCAAGACAACTGTTACTTTAAACATACTATTTATAATAGGTCTCCATGAAGTTAAAAAAAATACCTTGGAGCATTTTGTACATCAGTATAAAAATGCATGTTTGTTTTTTCTGGCACAGGACAGTCTGCTACATAATGTTTATGACACCAGAAGAACGAGGCAACTTATTACCACAAAGCTTCCTCGAAGTCAAAGCTTGTTGACAGGACACACTCAGAATAAATACGTGCAGTGCTTCCACATGTTTAAGTCAGCAATCCAGACACATACCCAGCAGCACTGAACACATGGCAAGTTTCCTACAGAAGCCTCTGATGGTTGAAGACATATTATTGAAATAAGAGTAAATGGAAAATTTTTTGAAGACAGGTATTCTGCAAAACACTAACAGTTAGACACATCATGTAATTAAAGCTCTCTAACATTAAAAGATTATTTTGTAGACAAAGTTTACTGTAATAAAGAAAATAAAGACAGTATTACCAACACGAATAGTAGCTTTTCCTTTCCGACCACTTCCTAGGACAATAGTTCTTTTCTTTGTTCTAGTTTTCAAAGCATCCTTGGAAGATGGAGACGTCAGCCACTTATACTAGATTTTTTTTTTTTAACAAAGACAAATTATTTTAGTAACTGGTATTTAAAGAGGTCCTTATTTAAGATTAGAGGGGGGTTGTCAGATATATGGAGAATACTGATGGTTAAAGAAAACTTAATAAACTGTAAAATTAAGGGGAAAAAAAATCCCACAAAGCCCCAGTTCAAACAGTTTCAACATGAGCCTGAGTGCTATATTATCAGCAAATGCTCCCAGAACACCACTATACCATCCCACCCAATATTTTCCTTTCTCCTGTGCAAAACTCTTCTCCTTTTATAGTAAAAAAAGATGTCATCAACCCTGTAAAAAGGAAACTCTGGCTCTTGTACTTCATTCTCTGAAAGCTGGCTTGCTAGGAATGACTGGCTCAGGCCAAAGTTATCCAAAGTAATAAAAGCTTCCTTAACATGATTTTGTATTACCAATAAAGTTACTATTTTCAAAAGTACAAAGTTTGATTTTGACTGCCGGTAATGGAAATTCATCCTTACATAGTAAAGGCCTCCCAACTAAAATTAAGACACAGGGATAATCAAAGGCAATTTCTGTACTTCAGACTTTAATTTCCTTACAGCAACAGCTCTATTATTAAAGGTTCCCCCCTTCCCCCAATAAGAGTTTTATTATCTCAGGTATATATTTTTAAGTTGTACTGCCACTTGGTGTTCACTGTGCATGTAGTTACGGTTCGTACAAACACTAGCGCTGAAGCAGCCATCGAAGGAAATGCAGTTGATCTTAAGACAAAGCTTATCTCGAGACAGCCCTAAACCCCATAGAGGAACAGTATGCCAAAGTTATTCCCACCTAATGTACAGGGAATATTAAAATGCTATCACTGTGCTTTAACTAACCAATCTTAGTCCAAGTTTATCATTGGCAAGAGAAATGTTCATTTGTTTTTTAAACTTTGGACTAAAATAATCCTTGTATAAATTTTGTTGGATTTATAGCAGGGTCTAGCCCAGGAGACAAGGAAATGTTCATTTTAAGCTAAAATATAGACAGAAAAATTAAACTGTAACCTTTTAAGAGCAAGAATATGTTGATTTTATCCTACTACACACATACAAGAGTTATGCTGTGTTAAACCTAAAGTTTGTCTAGCCCTGTACCCTGTCTCATGTCTAGGTGCCCGCTGCTGTTGTACATCATCTAAGTATAAAGACAGCAAACATGTTAAGACAGTGTTGAACTAAATCCTTGAGTTGTCACCATGAAAACAAGTTGAGGCTTGTTTTACAGGCACCTTCAGTGGATTTTTCCTTCAAGTTAGTCAGTCTCAGATTCTACACAAACTGTCACCACCTATTACACCCAATCATATTCAAGATTACAATCCACTACACTAGCTACACAGTGCTGCTAGGACAATACAACTGTCTTCTGTTTTAGTTGCCCAAAACATTTATTGAAAGTTTTGCTGTATTTAAAGGCATCAGTTAGCAGCAGGCAGCTCTCCTGACAAACTTGAAAACCCAATCCAAAAGGCAAGCACCTAGATGCTTTCAAAAAGCAAAAAGAAACACTTTTTATGCAGAACAGGATGGAATGGCTGCTGTCACTGGTATCCCGTAGGCAAGGGGTGACAGCACACCACAGGTTATTTGTGGCAGCCAACACATGATCTTTGGTAGTTAACGATAGCTCATGATAAGGCCATTCAAAAGCCCATCAAATTTCTCTCTGTAAAGCAACGCAGCATCACCTCAACGAGTTGACGCAACAGGTGCCATGGTAAGTTGGTACAGGGTGCAGCTCTGCCACTCTCAGGTATAAGAGAATTATGCCAGTTAGCCTTTGGCAGGATAAAAATCTGAAACCAGAGGCAGATGAAACTGAAAGTAGTAGTATGTATGATTATCTATGCAGCTCTAATTATCCGTGGGTGAGATGTGGTATGAATTAGGCCATTTGCTGTAAGAGTAAGTGACAGATCAGTTTCACACAGAAAATTACATCTTACACCTTGTGTTCAGGAAGTCTCTACACAGGCTAAACTTAGTCCAACTGATTCACTTTCTGTTAATATGAAATCCAGATCTCTGGAAACTACAATAGATAAGAGAAAAAAAAATCCCCACTAAATAAAATAATTTCAAAGATAGATACCCATGTTTTCTCCAATAGAAAAATAGACTAGCACATCGTTTTAAAAACTCAAAGGTTTGGAGGCAGTACAAAGATAACAAAAGGAAGCAATGTAGATGCTAACTGACTGTGCTCTGTCTGGCAAACTTAAGCTACAAGAAACCAACATCGCTTCTTCAGTTTGTACACTTAATCTATAATGGATCCTCCATTAAAAAAAAAAAATCATGGAAAATCTGAAAAACTGCTGAGATTTTTATATTATGTTAAAACTTCGAGGGTTTTTTCAATTGTACATCTGAATTTTGACTATTGGTAGAATGAAGAAATAGCCCTTGCAGTTATTCCTGCAACAGAGCTTTATAACTGTTTGTCTTCAATAATACTTCTGATGATTTACTAATTTATTCCATGAGTTTTGACTCCTTAAAAAAAAAAAAATAGAAACCAACACACACATAAAACAACACCCCACCAACACCCACATCACACCGCTGACTTTCAATACAGTGCACGTCATAGCATCACAGCGTATCTCAAGCTGGAAGGGACCCATAAGGATCATCAAGTCCAACTACCTGCTCCTCACTGAACCACCCAAAATTAAACCGTATGACTAAGAGTCTTCTAGATGCTCCTTGAACTCTGACTGGCTTGGTGCTGTCACCACTCCAAAAGAAATTCAACCGTTTTTCTCTTCATAATAGCCAGAGTTCTGTAACTAAGCTCAGAAACAACTGTAAATACTAAACTGCGACAGTAAATATTTGCACTCAAAATAATAACAGCCTCAACATCGTACGTTTGTGTTCATCTTACCAAACAGGTGGATTATCCCTTTTTGTGTGTCTGCACTGTTCCCATGACGAACAGCAAATCTCATTTACAGCAGCCTACTCACAGAGCTTACAAAATAATGGATCTAGGCTGGTTTTATTTGTGGCAGAAGCGAAGTTACTCAGAAGGCTGGTGGTCAGTCATTTTTAATAGATATTGCTAACGAGGTATGAAGAATCACTAGCATCACCAATAAGACTTAAGACACTGCACTAGTTGGATGAATAGAAAACAAATGTCTGGAGTGATCTCTTGGTGTATGGGACATTCCCCAGAGAGTTGCTTCTCCTCACGGTTCAACTTTCCAATAACCTGGAGCATTTCCACGCAGATGCTATTTTCATGTGAACCCTGCAACATTTTGCAAGTGTTGGTTGCATCTGCCAAGGAGAAGGAGTACTCCTTCAAAAGCAACCTCTATTTCTCCAAAGAAATATTTAAGAGATTGAAGAGATCTGTATTAGTCCTCAAGGAATTCTACACACAAACTTCTCAGGCTATTAGATACTCCCTACGGATCCACAGCTCTTAAAGAGGCTTTTAAGACTTTTAAGCCGTTTCAAAACCAACAGAGCAGTAAGTTCCAGAACAAGAACTGGGCTATGAAAACAAGAACAAGAGTACACTCGTTTATTTTCTGTCTCCTTTGGGAACTGAATCCAATTTCTGTGCTATAAACAAAAGACTCTGTATTTGAACAGCATATCTGATCATAAATGAGCCAGATATTCAGCTTATGCAAGTTACTGAAAATTCTCTAGCGCCTACGAGATAAAGATGGCAAGGGGTACTGTACCTTAACTAAACTCTAATTTCTTAGATGTCTACTATTAGAAAGGGTAGTCTTGACCAACTTAAATCTTAACTATGTAAACTATTGACAAAAAAAAGTTTCACAAACTAAGTATTAAACTTAAAATTGTGATTTCCTTTACTTTAAAATGAAGACTTATTATTACCTACATGTGTCCATCTTGTTACTGTGAAGAAAGCCTTCCATACATACCCAAGTATGCATGCACATTCCCATTTTTCTATTCATTAAGCAGATATCCTGGTTTTATTACATTACATCTTAAATTACATAAGAAATCACACAAAATGCCCAATATGATACATTGTTGCTGCTAGGTTTTTTAGTTTTCCTTCCTTAGTGTTTTTTGTTTTGTTTTGTTTAACTGCTTAAGATCAGCCCACTGTTCTTAACTTGAATAGCTGGTTTAGATTCATGCTGAACAAAACTGTCCTTTTAACCAAAAAAGGCAAGGGTAGCTACAAAGAATATCCCACTTACTCCAAAATGCCTAAAACATACCTCTGAATTAGCACTGTTTCCATTCACAAGAACTCTTTCAATAATGTTTGTCATGATAGCGTGATCTAGAATGGATTAGGATATCTTATTAACAATTTCCTGTAGGAGGGAAGTATTTATGCAAACAGATCACTGAATAAGCTGTACACACTACCTACCACCACTCCCTTCCCCCATTTAAAAATTGTTTAGCAAAATACTGTTGCAGGTTTTCCTTAAAAGTGGTTTATTTTTACCCTCAGCATTACTTAAGAAAACAAACAGACAAACAAAGAAGACAAAGGTAGGTACAGATACATACCAATTAATGGATTCTTTCTTATGTCAAGTACCACTAATGTTGTATTAGTTTGAAGAGCATCTAGTAATGTCCTTGCTCCTTCATTGGATATTCCACACTGTTGCAAATCAAGGGCTAAAATATTTGAAGTAAAAAAAAAAAAAAAAAAATCAGTAGTGTAATCTGCAGTCCATATTTAACACAATTAATCCACACCTGCTGAAAACCTCCATTTGATAGAACATGAAGCATGAGAATAGAGCACATGACGAAAACAGCCACATGTAAAAACAAGAATATTACTTTCAAAGAAGAAAACTATAAATTTAAGTCAATATTATAGATCAACAGTAAAAAAGGATTACTAAACAACTGCACAGGAAGGAATATAAAAATCACAGTTAAACCACTGTTCTTGAGAATTCCTAGTAGGTAAGGTGTTCCCAGACACCAACTGATCCAACTGCCCACGGTAGCATCATACGTACAAACAAGCAACTTGTGTCTAAAATGAGTCAATTCTTCTACAAGATCATTGCTTGCACATGTCATTAAGTTACATGGTCACCACGAAATAGCACTATCATGTCTTTGGCTTATATTTCATGTTGTGCATGCACAGTATCACAGACTGGTTGAGGCTGGAAAGGACCTCTGGAGGTCATCTCGCTGAATCCCGCTGCTTAAGCAGGCACACATAAAGCCAGTTGCCCTGCACCATGTCCAGACAGCTCTATCTGATCTCCAGGGATGAAGACTCTACAGCCACTCCAGGGAACCCATGACAGTGTTCCATCACCCTCAGAGTGAAAAGTGTTTCCTGATGTTCACTTTGACAATTCAGAAGAGGAAGAGAAATTTCTTTTGAAAAAAGTTTACTCTCTCCTGGCTAAATAGCAAGTTACTCTTCTGGCTACATCTGCTCTAACTGACAATTTTGAGTTTTCAACCGGTCACTACTGTATCTTAAGAGTCAGTATTTTCTCAACACCTGCGCTGGTCTGAGTCAGGACAGAGGTAATTTTCTTCACAGCAGCTGGTATGAGGTCACGTTTTTGATTTGCACTGATAAGAGTACTGACAGCAACAACTAAAATCACCAGTGTTAGGGAGGGTTTGTACCAATTCAAGGACTTTTTCAGCTTCTAATACTGCACCTGTGTTCCCAACTTTCTCATTACAAACAGCGGGCGTAGGGGGGATTGACACAGTCAGACAGCTGACCCAAACTGACCAAAAGGGTATTTCATTCCATAGCACGTCATGCGCACTATGTAAGTGGGAGGTGGGGCCAGGGGCTCATAGTTGCTGATGGGTCAGTTGGCTTTCTCAGCTGGTCTCTCGGTCGTGGGGCTTGTTCTGATGCTGCTCTCAGGCTTGCTCGGACTCTGGTGCAATCTGGCTCTCTGGCTCAGACTCTTGCTAATCACCACCCGGCTGTGTATATGGTCG